GTAGCAAGGGTCTGTAGTGTGCGTGTGCACGCTCGTCGCGAAAACCTTTTCTGGGATGCTAACGCTCGAAAAAAAATTAGCAAAAATCTGTACACTACTTGTCCGGTCTATGTGTTGAATGGTTAGTGGTAGTACCTTATGCACATTTTTTCGGCGTTGAAAAAGTTTGTTCTACATGTCTCGTCTATGTGTTCTTTGGTCAGTGGTAGGGGGTAGATATTGGGATGGCGGTTGAGCTAAGGATCGAAATTTTATAAAATATGTAAATGTGAATCAATTTTAAGAACTTGGAAAGTTTAGTTTTAAAGTTCAATACAAAGATTATTTTTACTCAAGAAAATATATTTTTAATATATATTATTTACAAACATTTTATTAACATTTTATAAATGCATAAGCACAAAAAATATATGGTTGTCCATTGCGATAACCTCAACCTGTAATTGACGCAGATGATGCTTACAGTTTTGAGTCCCCTGCGCCGGCTAGTCAATTCGAATCCAACACGGACATTGCTTCCTTTTTTTCCTCTTGCAATTCCTTTCCAGTCAAATCTAGTTTGGACCTACCAAAATTACTGATACTTAAATTTTCAACTATTTTCCATTGTTTGTTCTTAATCTCAACGGGAAATGAGAACACTACGTCTTTTGGCGAGCCATAACTGCCATCGGAAAACACACCCATGGAAACAAATTGGCCTGGAGCAGTGCCATGCCACCAATCATGCATATGGTCGCATGCAGCCTTTGCTGCCGACATGGCTGACGACATTTTCCGAGCGCTTATAACTGCTGCGCCTCGTTTTTGAACAGTTTCTACAAATGGACCCTCCAAATACGAATTATCTCCAACTGCATCAACAATATTTTTCCATTCATTATCAATAAGTATTTTTCCATGGCTGGCATCTGGGTATTGCGTCGAGGAATGATTTCCCCAAATAATTAAATTGCTTACGTTAGAAATCGGGGCACCGAATTTTGAAGCGATCTGTGCTGCGGCTCGATTTTGATCAAGGCGTGTCATAGCCGAGAAGTTTTCGCGTGGAATAGATGGTGCATAGTTGGCGCACACTAAGGCATTGGTATTTGCTGGATTTCCAACAACGAGCACTTTTACATCTTTTTTCGCGACTTTATCGAGAGCTTCGCCTTGTACTTTAAATATCTTAACGTTAGCAGACAACAAATCCTTGCGTTCCATTCCCTCTTTGCGGGGCATAGCGCCTACGAGGAACGCTGCAGAAACATCTTTAAATCCTTCCAGCGGATCCGTTGTGGGAACAACTTTACGCAATAAAGGCAATGCACAATCGGCAAGTTCCATCACGACGCCTTCTAACACTCCAGCCATTGGCGGAATATCAAGCAGATGTAAAATTAGTGATTGTTCCTTGCCAAAAACTTCTCCCCTGGCAATCATGTAAAGCAAGGAGTAAGCTATTTGACCAGCAGCTCCAGTAACAACAACGCGGATTGGTTCAGCCTATTACAAATTACAAGAAGCAAATATTTACAAATTTTTAAAGTAAATAGAAAATTAAAATAGTACAAATTAGTAAATAATAAATTAAGACTCATAGATTCGAATAACGATTCATAAAAAAGGAAACTCACGACTTTATTAAATTAATAAACTTGAATAGTTATCAGAATTGTTTTGTTTTTGTACGCTGAACTTATTGAAATTGGGAAGTCAGGGTAAAATCATTTTGTTAGATGTATGTAATAGGCAGAAGGGAACGGGACAGACTTTAAAGTCTATATATTGTTGATCAGGAAGACTAGTAAAGTCGATTTAGCCCCGCCCGTTTGTATTAGAAGTATTTGAAAGTTCTATGAAAATAATCTACAGTGTGAGTAAATTTTCTGTTTCTTGTGTAAGCAGAAAGGAATCGAAGAATTATAAAAATATCAGTTCGTCAAAGAGTTCAGGGAATTTCGTAGAAATGTAGTCACGTCTTTCGTCCCTATTATTTATTTAGGATGATTTTGATTTTATTTGTAAATCGTTTTGCCACTGTTTAATTTTTCCTACATTAAAAACTTAGGTAATGGAGTGTACGATTTTAGCGGTTGTGTGTTTAATATTTAACAACTTTACTTTTAAGGGATCTATTAATTTGCTACAAGCTATACACAAATATTTGTATATGCCACTTGGTACATCGAGAGTCAGAAAAAACAGGAGTCTTTAATTTAGACGGCTCGACTACGAGATACCCTGACACTTCGAAAAACTTCTCATAATTTTACGCTTCTTTACACACTCATGCACACTTACACACACATACTGTGCTAAATGCGTAGTTGACATATGAACCGCTATAATAACAAGTAAGAAAGCTCTAGTCAAGACTGCTCGACTACGAAATCCCCTGAATACTTCGAGCAGCAGATATTTCAATAATTATTCGCACATGCACACACACACACACGCACAAACACAGACATACGCATGCACGCATAAACACGCATTGGCTGCAGTGCACCGCAGTGGTCGCTTACTATGGGAACTTAATTGTTCAATAACTTTTCTTGTGGATGTACTTTCTTCATAAAACTTTTAGATTATGATTATAACATGGATATGCATGCTTTTGCCAAAGCATAAGTCTCTAGTATTTGCCTTTTACAAAGGTGACGGTGAGGGGGTGAATATTGAAGTGGGGGGTAAATTTTTACAAAAACTTAAATTGTATAAAATACATATAAATCTACTTTTAAAATTTTGAAGCTCTAGCTCTAAAGGTGTAGGAGATATAATTAAATAACTAGCTTTCGATATGGTTTTATCGATATTTAGAGAAAAACTCGATATGCGCGTGACATACACGGACCTAGGAACGAATTTCAAGTTTGGACGGACAGGTCCAAATCGACTCAGCTCGTCGCCCTGATCAAGAATATAAATACTTTGGGGTCTCTCACGCCTCCTTCAGCTACTTTTAACAAAATCATTATACCCTGATTTGCCATTTTCAATGAGTTCAGGGTATAATAGCTACAATACTTTACAGACATACACAGCTGAAATTTTATTTGTAATTATTAAACACTCAGATATTCAATTATAGTTATAGTTATAGTTGCTTTTAAAGGGCAACATTACACTATGGGCGATTTTCCGTAATAGCCGGCATAAAGTCCAAAAATTTATGGTGAAATATTAAGAAAATTTTGTTATTCCTTAGTTGTTAACTTTCCAATTAGATGGAAAACATTTTTTGTGCATTTTTTGGGTAAATTCTTTCTTTGTGGGAACGCCTTAAAGTCAGCTGATCTGTTGAAGCTTCTAGGTATAAAAATTGTCACGAAAAATTTTCTTCTGTTGCAAGTGCTCAAAATATTTTTGCACTAAAAGTTTCTCTGTGTTCACCAGGTTCTACAGGCTTCTTGATATTTGGAACAACAACATCCACGGCCGAATAACCTTTACTATTAATTAATAGCTACATACAGTTTGACACGAAAGTGTTTTCACATGGGAAAAAAAAGCTTTTTTGTTCATTGACATTAAAAAAAAACTACTAAATGTGATATTTCAAATTTAAAAAAAATTACATTGTTTTTCAATTTGTTGTCTTACAAAAATAATTTTTTTTAAATTTAAAAACTTTTAACATAGGCTTAAATAACAATAACAACATAAAAGATATTGAAGTTCAACTGACACGAAAGTGTTTGCACACATGCTATTTATTTCTTACTGCTAAATTCGCATCTACCGTTGTTATCGGCGATTTCAATGTGCACAGCTGTGGATAATGATATGTTCTGAACACTTTCGTCATATTTTGTAAGAATCGATTCAATCTTCGAAAAATTTAAACAAATTAAGAATACCAGGGAAGCGATTGTCATTTGACATGATTCAATTGGTTTATTATAACCACTCCATAGGAAAATCAGTGGCGGAGATCGCAGAAATGTTTATAATATCGAAGAGGACCATTTACAATATTTTAAGCCGCGCAGAAAACAATGAAACACTGGAGCCAAAGCATTCAACTGGACGACCTCGGGCGTTAACAGATAGGGCCGAGCGTATTCTGGCCAGGAAAGTTAATGATAACCCAACAATTTTGACCAGAACGCTTGCCAGGGAGCTGCAGGAAGAATGTCGTATTGACATATCCGGCGAAAGCGTCCGCAGAGCCCTAAAAAGGAACGAGTTTGCATCCCGAATTGCGCGGAAAAAACCATTGTTGTCGTCGGATCATGAGAAAAGACGTCTAACATTCGCCAGGATGCATGTGGGACATGTTGATTCATATTGGGATGAAACCATATTTTGTGACGAGACGAAGATGATGTTGTATTACAATGATGGACACAGCCGTGGATGGTTTGGGGGTGTATTTCTAGTAAAGGAGTTGGAGAATTGTGCTTTATCGAGAGTACAATGGATGCGAAACAGTATTTGGAGAGTTTACGCACGAATCTAGTGTCCAGTGCCCGCAAGTTTGGATTTTTTAGGGATGGTAAACCAACATTTAGGTTTTACCAAGATAATGACCCCAAACACAAAGCTAACATAGTCAGGTGCTGGCTTCTCTACAATTGTGCAAAGGTGTTGGATACTCCTGCACAAAGTCCCGACCTTAATCCCATAATCTGTGGGCTGATCTCAAAAAAAGGACAGCCAAGCGAGGTCCAACAAACAAAAGCGATTTGAAAGCCTGTATATTAGAGGAATGGGAGAAGACACCGGTGGAATATGTCCAAAAACTTATCAATTCCATGAGTAGACGGTTGGAAGCGGTCATTGAAGCCAATGGTGGTCATACTAAATACTAATACTTAATATAGTTAATAGTGCCTTATTTTGAATACTTTATTTTTGTGCACACTTTCGTGTCAGTTGAATTTAAATATCTTTTATGTTGTTATTGTTTTTTAAGCCTATGTTAATAGTTTTTTAATTTTTTTAAAGTTATTTTTGTAAGACAACAAATTAAAAAACATAATGTAATTTTTTTTTAATTTGAAATATAACATTTAGTATTTTTTTTTTTTTAATGTCAAAGAACAAAAATGCTATTTTTCCCCATGTGAAAACACTTTCGTGTCAAACTGTATATAGTATGAGTTCTTTATCAACCCAGACAAGTGTCAACGTTTTTGCAGACTTTTTTTTCACTATATATGAAGACATTTACAAAAAAAAAAATAAATTTACGTATACTTTATAAGGGGGCGAAAAAAAAGGCTTGGCACAATTTAAGAGAAAAAAAAAAAATCCGAAATTCAAGAAATATATAAGTAATATAATACACAAAAAAAATTTATGCCGCCAAAATCGACAAATCGTCCATAGTGCATTGGCGAGTAAGAGCCTCAGTCCAAAGTTTAGGAAGAATAATTCGTGATAGCGTGTTTTGGATTGGGTAAGATTAAGATTGACGTATTGGATCTAAGGACGTCGGGTCAACCGTAATCTATTTTCTTATCAACACTTTAGGTACTTTACATACATACAATGTATGTATGTATGTAGTACATATGCACAATTATTGCAAGGTACCGAATCGGTATAAACATAAAACCTTTTTAAAGTATATACATAGCATGTAAATAAATAAATAATAATAATAAATAATTAAATAATAAGCTTAAATAGGGTCAATTGATAATATCGTTTACACACATTAAAATGGTTATTTATTTTAACATAAGTTATATATATATATAACATAAGTTATATATATATATATAACATAAGTTATATATACATAAATACATAGGATAATTAATAAATTATATATTTTTGCCACTTTTTAATAAATTAAAACATGATAAGGTCATTTGAATGTTATGTCCATTTGTATGAAACCATAATTTATAATTGCAAATTCTCTCAATATTTACACACAATAGTAAAAATTGATTTTTAATATGAGTTATATAAGTAGCAAATGCAAGCAGTTTTGATAATTCTATCTTACCATCACTGATAGATTCGTTTTCTTATGCGTAATAAAACTGGTGAATTATTAAACTACAAAATTATAGTGATGCTCAAGAAATTATATTTTAAAAATCGATTTTACTAAAGAAGTCGGATATTATATCGATATTTACATTAAATATCATAAATCAGCTATCGATTCTTTTAAGACAAATAGTGCAACATTAGAGCTTTTCCACTGACCAAAGAACACATGATGAGACATGTAGAACAAACTTTTTCAACACCGAAAATATGTGCATAAGGTACTACAACTAACCAGAGAACACATAGACTAGACATCTAGAACAAATTTTTTCAACGACGAAAAAATGCGCTGACAACTTCGTATTTGTTTGGCTCGGTCTTTTGAGACTCAAGCAGTGCAAAAAAGGCACAATAAAATCAGTGCGCTGCGACCGCTGCCACGAAATGCACACGTTCCCAAATGAAGTACTGTTATGCGCTCTATTTCCCTTACTCACTCCCTGAGAGAGAGAGAGAGAGTAGGGCAAATAGCGCATAGCCGTGCTTCATATAAGAATGGCACCATATCGTTTGAGCGCTTGCAGCGCACTGACTTTGTCGTGCAATATTTTCACTGCTCGATCCTCAAGAGACTGAGCCGAGCAAATACGAATTTGTCTGGTCTCTTCAGCGCATTTTTTCGTCGTTGAAAAAATTAGTTCTAGATGTCTAGTCTATGTGTTCTCTGGTTAGTGTTGTCATAAAGGCTCATTTGACAGTATGTGAGCAGTTCATAAGATCGACCAAATGCAAATGGTGGGCTTTGAAATTGTTACAGGCAGCAAGAGCTTCGCACACAGGCATACAGATGCTCATACATGTAGCAAGGGTCTGTAGTGTGCATGTGCACGATCGTCGCGAAAACATTTTCTTTATGAGCACCAACGCCATCATACCCTTCCCACAAACAATAACGAAAACGAAAATATTTTGTAGGAGCTTTGTAAACGGTTTAAAGAGTTCAGTATACTCTTCACACAGAAGGGAAGAAACGGCAGTCTAACGCGAAGAAATTTCAATTTTCGTGTGCTACTGCTTGTGCTCACATGCATACATACATATACATATTTGAGAGAGCAGAGAGCGAGAGAGCAAGAACAAAAATTGAGCATAGAGGCAACCTTTATTCAACATTTGACCATCTCGGTCAGGCGCATGAAGCGGAATGATTGTGCTTTCGCATATTTTCGTAGCTCGGACCTAAAAGTGAAGAGCCGAGCAAATACGAAATTGATAGGCCTTAGGAGACAGATTTTTCGGTGTTGAAAAACTTTGTACTACATGTCAAGTCTATGTGTTCTCTGGTCAGTGTTACAATATAATAATATTATCAACTTAATGTTTAGATAGATCGATGGAATTTTCTCGATGTTGATAAATCGGTACAGACGCCAAGCCACAAGTAAGTTCATACGTTGATACTCAAATTATTATTAAAATTAGAATCTATTTTACACAAACAATTTGATTAATTTTTTAATATAAGCACATAGATACCTATTTACCACATTATTTAATTGTTGGCGGTTCCTTCACGGAAAACGGAAAATTTTTTGATCCCATCTGGTAAGATTCATACAATTAATAGCAAACACGTTTTTTCTAATTGTTTTGGATTTTAGGAAACACATCAAATATGCGGAAACACATCAAATATGCAAGAGCATTTAAAGCGTGCACATCCTCTCAAAATCGTTGAACAAAAATCGCAGAGAATTGATAAATTTATCGAGCGAACGGATTTATATGAACCCTCGTCATCCAGAAAGGCGTACCTAAACGGCCAGGAAATGGTTGCAAGCGACTTGCACCTCAAAATACAAGCCCACTGGATTATTGGAAGGTAAATATGTCATAAATAAATTTATTTATATTATCGTACACTATCTTCTAGATTACCTCCATTCAATTCGAATCATTTGCAAAATGTGCAAAAAAAAATACTGATAATTCCTGCTAGCTCCACGGAGTCTGAACGTATTTTCAGCAAGGCAGGAGAAATTACTGCGCACAATCGGAGCAGTCTAAACCCAAAAGCAGTCGATATGCTAATTTTCTTAAAGCACAATAATTGGCTACATAATGGATCTCACGATAATTAATTTCAGTTTTAAGCTCAAGGCTTTTGTAAAAGATAGTCAAGCTTTGTTTTTTGAATTTTAAGTTGAATTTTAAGACTTGTTAATTACAGTCGAACTTTTTGTTTTTTAGTTATAAGATAACTAGTTGTCCCGGCGAACTTCGTACCGCCTAACAGTCTCTATATATAAAACAAAGTCGAGTTTGTTACAAAACTTATAATTCGAGATCTTGTGCACCAATTTTCATGGTTTTTGATTTGTATTTTAGAAACCCTAATAAGCTACTCTCTACTAAATTAAGTGACAACTTTTTTTCTGTACCAAAAGCAAACAGAATAAAATGTATATCAAGTTAAAATGAAAACAATGATTGATCAAGTTAAAATGAAAACAATAATATTGATCTTACCATTCAATGGATTAATCATTTTGATATAAAAGTGATATGACCGGGAATAGGGAAGGAGGGGGGGGGATTCACTATGAGAACCGCCACTCACGTGCACCGCTCGCTTCGTAATCGCCTCGCCACCGTCCGATCCTCTGCTTATCCGCCGTCGCCTCTCTTAATGGAAACCCTTCTTCGTTTTATCTCTTTTCTACTGAGTCGCTTTATTTTTCACTCTTGACTTAGCTTAACCGCACTTAAAGATAACTTTCACAATTTAGTCTTGACTTTTTCCACCGACCGGCGGCTTCCGCTGCTCGATCCCGACTCCTCATCCCTTTTTCTTTTTGCCTTGCCCAAAGCGCTCGGCATCGGCGACGCAACTCTCCGCTCAAAACTCTCCGTGCAGGGTTGCGCCGCCGATCGCTGATAAATCACCAGCGCTTTGGGCGGCATTTTCAAATGTAAATTTAAATGGCCATTCAATAATGCATAATAATACCACTAACCAGAGAACACATAGACCGGACAAGTAGTGTAAAGCGTTTTGCACACTTTTTTTCGGGAGTTATCTTCCAGACACTTCGTATTTGCTCGGCTCTTCACTTTTTGGGTTCGAGCTACGAAAACATACGAAAGCACAATCATTTCACTTCATGCGCTCGACCGAGATGGTCGACTGTTGAACAAAGGATCCCTCTGCGCTGAATGTTTCCCTTGCTCTCTCTCTCTCTCACGATGCTCTCTGCTCTCTCAAATATGTATATGTATGTATGCATGTGAGCACAAGCAGCGCTCACAAATTGAAATTTCTTCGCAGCGAGAGCCCATGCCTACCCTTATGTGTGAAGAGTATACCGAACTTTTCAAACCGTTTGCCATGCGTTTTCGTTATTATTTGTGGGAAGGGTATGAAGGCGTTGGTGCGCATAATGAAAATGTTTTCGCGACGAGCATGCACACACACACTGTCCCTTGCTACATGTACTATGTACTGCATGTGAGCACAAGTAGGCTAACGAAAATTGAAATTTCTTCGCAGCGAGAACCCATGCCTTCCCTTCTGTGTGAAGAGTATACCGAACTTTTCAAACCGTTTGCCATGCGTTTTCGATATTATTTGTGGGAAGGGTATGAAAGCGTTGGTGCGCATAATGAAAATGTTTTCGCGACGAGCATGCACACACACACTTACAGTATGCTACATGTACTATGAGCATTTGTATGCCTGTGTGCGAAGCTCTTGCTGCCTGTAGCAATTTTAAATCCCAGCATTTGCATTTGGTCGATCTTGTGAAGTGCTCACATACATATGTATGTATGTATGTATATACATTTGATTGTGTGTACGCATGGGAGGCGCTGCTCACAATTTTGGGATATAACTTGTAGAAGCACTTGTATGCCTGTGTGCCTTTACATGTGCGTGTGTGTATGTGTTTGTATGTATGCATGGGAGATGAACATTGGCGTGTGCCTCCCTCAACTTAGAATGGTGTGAACGATTTTGGGCTTTGATTGAAGAGGCGCGCTTATGTTTAAGTACCTGTTTTGATTCAATGATCGTGGGTTTACCTATCAGAATGAATGTTTTTTAAAAATGTGGTACCTGATTAATCCAAATTTTTGTAAAAATTATCAATTTGACCTATTTACGTATTCATCTTTTTAAAAAGGTGTCAAATTGACCTACATATGTATGCACAAGTGCAAGGGTTAAAAAAACACATCCCATTTTGCCCATTGGAATTAATCAAATTCAATCAAAGTCATGCAATTCTAGACAGAATTAGTGATGCTACTTTCGACAGTGTGAATGACTATCCACGTTGTTAACTATTTATCGATACATCGATAAGCGAGAAATATTTAATATCACTGACCAGAGAACATATAGACACTGACCAGAGAACACATAGACTAGACATGTAGTACCACTGACCAAACAACACATAGACTAGACACCAGACATGTATTGGCATTGGATGGCTCGGGTAATAAAAGATAGCACGACGAAATCAGTGCGCTCTAAGCACGCAAACGAAATGGTCATGTATGCGCTTTGCGTTTTTTGTCTTACTCTCCCTCTCTCTCTCTCATTCTCTCTGTGGGCTCTCAAATCATGAAGCTCAGCAGCGCACAAAAAATTGAAATTTCTTCGCGACGGTCCCAGCTCTTTCCTTTTGAGTAAAGAGTATACCGAAATCTTAAAAAATCGTTTGCGACATTCATGCAAACAAAATGTAAGCGTTTGTATGGTTATTCGTGGGAAGGGTATGAAAGCGTTGATACGCATAAAGAATATGAATTCGCGACGGGCAAGCACACACACACTTGCAGTCTCTGGAAACATGTGTGAGCATTAGTGGATTGTGTTCGTAACTCTTGCTGCTTGTAGTAATTTTACAGTCCAGCATTTGCATTAATTTCTTTTTTAATGTACCTGATTATTCCCAGTGGGCAAAATGGGATGTGTTTTTTGAACCACTTGTGCATACATATTCAGGTCAATTTGACACCTTTTTAAAAAGATGAATACGTAAATAGGTCAAAATTACCCTTTTTACAAAAATTGGGATTAATCAGGTACCACATTTTTAAAAAACATTCAGGTACCACATTTTAAAAAAACATTCATTCTGATAGGTAAACCCACGATCATTGAATCAAAACAGGTACTTAAACATAAGCGCGCCTCTTCAATCAAAGCCCAAAATCGTTCACACCATTCTAAGTTGAGGGAGGCACACACCAATGTTCATCTCCCATGCATACATACAAACACATACACACACGCACATGTAAAGGCACACAGACATACAAGTGCTTCTACAAGTTATATCCCAAAATTGTGAGCAGCGCCTCCCATGCGTACACACAATCAAATGTATATACATACATACATACATATGTATGTGAGCACTTCACAAGATCGACCAAATGCAAATGCTGGGATTTAAAATTGCTGCAGGCAGCCAGAGCTTCGCACACAGGCATACAAATGTTCATAGTACATGCAGCATACTGTAAGTGTGTGTGTGCATGCTCGTCGCGAAAACATTTTCATTATGCGCACCAACGCTTTCATACCCTTCCCACAAATAATATCGAAAACGCATGGCAAACGGTTTGAAAAGTTCGGTATACTCTTCACACAGAAGGGAAGGCATGGGTTCTCGCTGCGAAGAAATTCCAATTTTCGTTAGCCTACTTGTGCTCACATGCAGTACATAGTACATGTAGCAAGGGACAGTGTGTGTGTGCATGCTCGTCGCGAAAACATTTTAATTATGCGCACCAACGCTTTCATATCCTTCCCACAAATAATAACGAAAACGCATGGCAAACGGTTTGAAAAGTTCGGTATACTCTTCACACATAAGAGTAGTCATGGGCTCTCGCTGCGAAGAAATTTAAATATGTGAGCGCTGCTTGTGCTCACATGCATACATACATATACATATTTGAGAGCGCAGAGAGCATCGTGAGAGAGAGAGAGCAAGGGAAACATTCAGCGCAGATGGATCCTTTGTTCAACAGTCGACCATCTCGGTCGAGCGCATGAAGCGAAATGATTGTGCTTTCGTATGTTTTCGTAGCTCGAACCCAAAAAGTGAAGAGCCGAGCAAATACGAAGTGTCTGGGAGATAACTCCCGAAAAAAAGTGTGCAAAACGCTTTACACTACTTGTCCGGTCTATGTGTTCTCTGGTTAGTGATAATACTAAACAATAATAATACTAAGAATACTAATAATACTAAACAATACAACTAAAAATAAAATTCAATATTAACTTAATACTAAACAATACAACTAAAAATCTATTTTCACTTGTTATAAAAATCTTGCGAGGCGGTGATTGGCGAGCCGCCTCACATCATATGAACGGTGCGTTCCAAGTCGTTCCAAGTATCACGTGCTTCCAAGTTTTCAGCAACAATTAGGATTGCATCGATTGTTGGATTATATCCGTGTTCTTCAATAATTTTCGCCCCAAATGAAGTCATTTGGAAAAAGGCATTGTATTTTTGAGTGCTCGCTAGAAAAGTAGGGATCGCAATGGCTCTGGTGGCGGGACCACTAATGGCAATGTCACTTTACCACTAAGGCAGCACAAACCGGGCTTTTCACCAGCAAACTTCAATGCGCCATAATGCTGGTAAACAACGTCTATTGGACCAATGCAAACTAAACGATTCAAGCTGTAGTCAATGGCGCAATCATATCGAAACGCTTCTCGATTCAAATCAATCCTTGACGGGCTGCTTCTCTTTGAGAAGCACGAATTAAGGCCTTTCTTTACTGGGTACTAACGCGGCGCTCTTCTCGGGCGATTTCTCGCTCTTCGTCATATAATTGACTCGCGATATTCCGTTGCCTAATTGCATTATGGGTCCGCCGGGAAAGATTAGATCTTCTAGGACGCGGCATTTTTATTAATAGTAATACTGCCCTCGCACAAATTTATGTTTGAGACAAACAAATACTATTGTATAATATGAGAGCAGGACCGAAAACTGTCACTGTTGTCAAGGCTATTGAGTATCAATGGAAATTTGAATCTTTAGGGAAAAAACCGCGTTTTTCAAGTATTCGTCAAATTTTTTCAGTATTTTAAAGATCTACTGACCTACTCGTGGCGGACACAAATATTTTTAGGATAGACTTTTTCGTGATGAACTGGAATACAAATATTATTTTTATGAATTAAGACGAAAAATCGTGAATTGTTTTGAACTTACTAAGTATAAATGTTTATAAAGTTGATTTTTTTTTCTATGAATTTTCAAAAAATTTTTGAATGGAGCTATTTTCGATGGAACCATCGATACTATCGATATTTTAATCAATCAGACTCAAACAAAATCGATGGACGGTCCATCGATGGTTTTGCAGCACTACTCCTTACTAAGGACAAAAGGAAAATAGAGAGAGAGAAATAGAGAAAATATACATATGTCATATGTATATTCCAGAAAATACTTACATGAGTCTCTTCGCGCCACCAAGTTGTAAATTATCGATGGATGAAAAAACCATCGACATCATGACAGACCAAATCCATCGATACTATCGATAGACCCCATCGATGGATTTGCAGCCCCACTTTACACTACTTGTTCGGTCTATGTGTTCTCTGGTTAGTGGTTGCATTTTGTCAAAATGAAGATTTTTGTATCGAAACAGTAGAAAACCGTGACAGTTTCGTGTCAGGTCAGGTCCAAAAACAAAAAAAAAAGTGATGGCAAAAAAAAATCATTGTTCGATTATTTAATCATATGATTTATTTTAGGAGCTTTAAAGATTAATTGCAATTAATCGCAGAAAAATGGAACAAATCGATCAATCAAATGATTTTTTTGAATGCGCTTAATTTATTTTTTATGAACTCCTTTTAGAAGCAACAATAGCAACAAGAACAGTAAAGAATATAAATGTTTATTTATTTAAAATTGAGTTAAGAAATAGTAGTTGTGAAAGGTGATCTGTTGTTAACCTGTTCCTTTTTCGGTTAATGTGGCACCCGCCTTGGAAAAAATACGTTCCGCTGGTACCGAAGTGCCTATTAAGAAACAATACCGACAAGCTATAACATATAGCTTAGGGTATACAGTACGCATCTCCTCCCAGGCGTTGACGACATTACGCTTCAATTCAAAAACAGGAGCATTTAAAAAAAGACTGCGCTCGCCTTGAATTTGAAAATGGTTACCGTCTTTCTTACTGGTTTTGTGGGCCAGTGCCTTGTACTGGGTCCATAAATCGAACTCAGATTCGCTAGTAGGTGAGCCGTCACTAGTGCTTCCTAAACTTTCATTTATATCTGAAAGCTCCGCCATTTCTTGTCGTATGCGCTTCATAACCTAACTAATTGTTGGTGCCATAATTACGCTTCGCTTTCCAACTTTTGCGCGCCAATGTTGCTTATAGCGATGCGATTTTTTGAGCAAATCATCGGTTTTCTCGATTATTCAAAACCCATTTTGCGATACAATTAAATCGTGAATTGAAACAAAATAATCGATTATTGTGTATCAAATGATTAATCGTGCCATCACTAGGCAACCCTCATTTCGACCGAAATCATAAAATAATTTATATAAAAAATATTTGTATTTAGAACCAAAAGTTATTGACAAAGTTAAAAAATAAACAAAAATTTTCTTTATTGAATTAAGTAATTAGCTGCAGCTTGCGAAAATACTTTATATTTGAAATCTAAATATAGAATGTTACATATACAAAAATAATCGATACGCTGGAGTTTTAATCGAATAGCTGTAAGCTCTTTGTGAATGTGTGTAGCATGTATGTGTGTTTTCAATAGACATTTAGTTTTAGGCAATATTAATGAAAAAATTTAATACTAAAATAGCTTGTGAAAATTTGCAAATGTGTATTTAAGAAAAGCGTAAGAAGTTTTGTAGGCTGGAGATATGAAGTGCCAAGTTTTGGTGCTTGAGGTAATTATTCAATTCACGTGTATATATAAATACATATACATATACATATGTACATGTATTTGCTTTGCTAAATTTTTTCAATGAAAAAAAAACTGAAGGATAGTCAAAATTAATGTTTATAATAAATTTTAATTACAGTGCTATCTTTTGATTATATAATCATTCTGTTTATATTTATTTTTTAAATAAGCAGCAATAACTGCGTAGATTTTAAATTTTTATAGCATAAGAATGTGTACATATGTACATACATGTACGCATATACATAGATACATACATACATATGTATATACAGTATGTTCATTAATTGTTTGCAAAACAAAGAATGTCGTACAAATTCAACTTTAACATCATATTTTATTACAAAAGGCACTTTTTCTCAGAATTGTTTTTTTTTATACCCTGAACCCATTGAAAATGGGAAATCAGGGTATAATGGTTTTGTTAAAAGTATGTAACAGGCAGAAGGAGGCGTGGCAGACCCCACAAAGTATATATATTCTTGATCAGGGCGACGAGCTGAGTCGATTTGGCCCTGTCCGTCTGTCTGTCCGTCCGTCCGTCCGTATGTATGAACGCGTCGATTTCAGAAGATATAAGAGCTAGAGAAATTTTTTTTCCTAGGTCCGTGTATATCACGCGCATATCAAGTTTTTCTTTTTATATCGATAACTACTCCCGATAATTTATTATCGATCAAAAACCTTATCGAAAGCTAGTTATTTAATTATACCTCCCACACCTTTAGAGCTAGAGCTTCCAAATTTTATATGTAGACTTATATGCATTTTATATAATATCGATTTTTGTTGTAATTTACCCCCCACCCCTATATCCACCCCCTCACCTTCACCATTGTAAAAGGCGTATTTCAAGTACTAGAGACATGTGCTTTGGAATGTACGTACATTTGAACATTATGATTATGTTCTGAAAGTTTCATTAATATTGCACGTCTAGAAATTAAATTATTCAACAAATAAATTCTTATAATGTTGCCCACACTGCAGCGCAGCACAAGCGCAGTTGCTGCTTACTGCGCAGTTAGCAGAGCGCGTTCTAATACGTGGATGTGTATGTACGTGTGCCGAAAAGAAGTGCAGAGTGATTAGAATATCAGATTTGAGGGTTCAGGGTATCTCCTAGTCGAGCAGTCTCGACTAGAGTCTTCTTACTTGTTTTACATTATTTTTGTTTTATTTATTCTTAACGAAAATAAATCACAAAAACAATAAGGATAGCAACAAAAACATACAAAATAATTAAAAACAAAAAAAGTCAGCTAATATTAGCTGTTTATTAATTCTTTGCCAAATGCAAACATTAGTTGAAAGAAGACTAACGGGGCATCAAAATCAAATGCGGCTCGCGGCGTCCATTTTCACAAGTCTTCCGTAAATTCATTCGTTTTAATAAAGTCTTGGAATCACTACCATTTCTCATACAATTTGAATTTTCGCAATGCCTGGTAAACGCGCCGATGACAATTTGATACAATTAGTGTATTTTAATTTTATCAAAGGAAAAACCATTAGAGTTACCTGAAATGTTTAATATTAAGCTTAGAACAGTTTATAATATTTGTAATCGGGTAGAAAAAGAAAATTGTCTGTAACTAAACAGCTCTAAAGGCAGACCAGCAAAGCTCTCTAGACGGGATTGTTCTCAAATTCTCAAGTCTCCGGGAGTTGGTGACGGGCATTAAATTACACCTTCAAAAGACAGTGTGTCCCGAGACTGTGAGAAAAGTTCTCAATTTGCACAAATACTCCTCACATGTTACAAGGAAGAAGCCGTTACTGTCTGCTGTAAATATTGAGAAACGTCTGACCTTCGCTAGATTTCATATTGACTGTCCTCATGACTATTGGAATATCGTAATTTTTTGCGACGAGACAAAGATAATGTTCTACAATGATGGCCCTGGAATAGTGTGGCGGAAACCAAAAACAGCCCTCCACGCCAACAACATTGTGTACACTGTTAAGTTTGGCAAGCTATCAGTGATGGTGTGGGGTTGTATTTCTTCGAAAGGTGTGGGAGACCTGCAAAACATAAGTCGCTGCTGTGTCGCACTTGGCCACTTTATAACTGCAGCAAAGTTATTGATACCCCACCCCAGAGCCCGGATATCAATCAATAAAATATGATGGTTAAAGTTGAATTTGTACGACATTTTTATACCCTGAACCCCATGAAAATGGGAAATCAGGGTATAATGCTTTGTTAAAAGTATGTAACAGGCAGAAGGAGGCGTGACAGACCCCACAAAGTATATATGTATATTCTTGATCCGTCGCCCTGATCAAGAATATATATACTTTGTGGGGTCTGTCACGCCTCCTTCTGCCTGAGTCGATTTGGCCCTGTCCGTCTGTCCGTCCGTCCGTATGTATGAACGCGTCGATCTCAGAAGATATAAGAGGTAGAGACTTGAAATTTTTTTCCTAGGTCCGTGTATATCACGCGCATATTAAGTTTTTTAACTACTCTCGATATTTTATTATCGATTAAAAACCTTATCGAAAGCTAGTTATTTAATTATATCTCCTACACCTTTAGAGCTAGAGCTTCCAAATTTTGAATGTAGACTTACATATATATATATATATATATATTATATATATTTTATACAGTTTCGATTTTTTTTAAATTTACCCCCAACTCCTATTTCCACCCCCTCACCCTTCACCTCTGTAAAAAGCGTATTTCAAATACTAGAGACTTGTGCTTATAATAATATACATACATTTGAACATTATGATTAAGATTGTACGTCTAGAAATTAAATTATTTAAGAAATAAATTCTTATAATGTTGCTCACACTGCAGCGCAGCCCAAGCGCAGTCGCTGCTTATTGCACAGTTAGCAGAGCGCGTTCTAATACGTGCGTGTGTATGTATGAGTGCCGAAAAGAAAAGATTAGAATATCAGATTGGAGGGTTCAGGGTATCTCCTAGTCGAGCAGTCTCGACTAGAGTCTTCTTATTTGTTTGTTTTGCAAACAAGACCAGCGAACTGAAAGTGTGGACGGTCCTTTCAGATTTAGTATGACTGTTTCAGCCACGTTTCTATTCTGGCCAATTATTGTTCAGATCGGCGACGTGGCTCTGGACATTATTTTGGCTCTCCATCATATAGGTTTAATTTTTTACGGATATTGCCTAGTAGTATAAACTTTTAAGATATTGCACATACATACATATGTTTTAAAAATCACTGTTATTTCTAAGAGTAACGTTGTGGCCACTGCGTATGTAAGAGTACGTAGACTTTTGTTGACGGAAATATGATTATTTGTTTTTATACTCATTCACGAGCAATGTTTGTCTTGCTGTCCGTCTGTCCGTATGAACGCTATATTTTTCAGCGCTATTGGAGCTAAAGACAGGAAGCTAAAATACAGGGCATGATCCCATTAAAATTGGAAAATCATCGATAGCTATTGCTGTTTAAATCCAGTACATCATTGCAATTCTTAGAATTTCGATTGATTTCTAGATTTTCTAGCCAGATGACGCTCTGCTATTAAGTTATTCTATTTTAACTACTGACTGATCAAGCAAAGCAGTGGCGCGTGTGCTAAAGGCGAGGCAAGTCATGTTAGAGTAGGAGAGGCTCGAAATCTCTTCGATGTTATTATTATTATTTTTTTTTTTTTAATACATATTTCGTTCTTTTTATACTCATTCACGAAAGTGAATATATTGGTTTTGTGCAATGTCCGTCTTGCTGTCCGTCCGTCTGTCCGTCCGTCCGTCTGTCCGTATGAACGCAATCTATTTCGGCGCTATTGAAGCTAGAGACTTGAAATTTGGAACAAAATTTTTCCGATCCGCCCACTAGAGGAGGCTACCAGAAACTCAACCAGTAATTTGAAGCTTCTAGTTCTTAAACTGTAGGAGATATAAACTTTTCCCCTATGGGCGGACATATATTTACATAGCTAGTTGGAGTTGGGTGGTCAACCCGCGTATACACTGCGCGGCGTCAGGTTAGCGCCCCCCCTTACACTATTTTTTAAAAACTTTTTTCTCTTTGCCTATTGCACGCAACTTCTTAGTTTTTGTTTTGATTTTATTATCATCATATGAGATGTCTCTCATAACAAAAACCCGTTATGTTTTATTTTCTATTCTTCTTTATTTTCGCAAAGAATGCGTGCTTTTATTTTGCGTCATCAAATGCAATTGTAGTTATCTTCCTTATTTTGTGTGTGTGTGTGTGTGTGTGTATGTGTGGCATTGGTGTAGGTAGCAATATCTTACACGGCACTTGCAGGATTCAATTTTTGACATCGCGCATGAACGCATAGAATTACAACACCGTGTTTAAAACTGCTGTTCTGCATTTCTGTCTGAAAATCTGCAGTCGATTTTCCAGCATAATAACGCTCCAATTCAGACCGCCCGATCCGTGAAGTCTTGGATTCAGGGCCAAAAAGTTGATATGAGTGTGGCCACCATACTCACACGACCTTAATATCATTGAAAACGTCTGGGGATGGTTGGTCAGGAAAGTATATTAGCCCGGAAATCATTATAGTACAAAGACAGAGCTAATCGAAGGTACTGAACACGCTTGGTCAACCATATCCTTGAATTATATTGAGCAATTTTATAATTCCATTCCTAATCGAATTTTTGAAGTAATTTCAAACAAAGGCGCACTACTAATATTACTTCAAAATAATAATAACTTAATATACAGGTGTTATTTTTGGTCATCAAGTGAAACAAATTAAATTAATCGCATGGAGCGCTAATATGATGACCAAATTTTTGTTACATGTTTTTTTTTTGACATTTTACAAGAAAATTAATTAAAAACAAGTAAGAAAGCTCTAGTCGAGACTACTCGACTACGAGATCCCCTGAACCCTTGGAGCAATAGATTAATCAATAATTTTTCGCGTCTTTCAGCTTACACAAGAAACACGCACACATACACACACACGCACGTACGCACACACAGGCATACACAACTTGCAATTTTTATT